GAAAGATGCATTGTAAATAGTTTCAAATGGTAACAAAGAACCTATCCTGACAAGTAAAGAATACTAGTTCAAAATAAGTCAAAAGAGATGACCTTTGTTGATCTCGATTTTTGTACGGGCGTCGTGACCAACATATTTCGATTTCACTCATGTCCACACATATGGTTCTTGTCACTTGGACGCATCATTAAAAGCATGTGACCTTCTCCAAAAGTGGGGTAAGACATCACAATCATTCCGACAATCAAGATAGTCAACTTTTATAAAAGTATTTGGGTGTGGGACGAAGACATGAGCTACAATAGTGTACAAGCATCAGGGTGATAAAAGAGAAAAATGAGAGAGCAATAACACTGTGGGAGTGTAAAAATGCATTACCTTCAAATGACACTAATATGAGTTTTTATAGTAGAAGATGAAGGTGGTTATCGTCGGATGAAAAGACACGTTGTCACATTCTAGCGGTCGAGGTGTCTTTTTCTAGGCGTCACTCCATATTAATATTATGTGAACATGTGGTTGAAAACGTGTGTGGAAAAAAAGTTTTGAATTAAAGGCAATCAAACAGGGGCTCAATGTTTTTGAAAAGTAGTCACCTTATAGCCTAGGTTTGACCTTTGATAAGTTGACAGTGAAGCGTATGCTGCAAAGATATCACATCAATCAATCATAAAAAGATCTTATACGAAAGATCTTGAAATAAGTGAGGTGGAAGACGCCTTCTCTTATAAAGAAGTTAATTGCATCGTAGTCATTCTGTAGCATATTATAGCACTTAACCTAGGCCATAGCGAGTCAGCCTCTACACGGCACCTCAATTGAGGTTATGCATCACTTCGATTGCCTTAGTTATGGCCTTGACTAAGCTAAGGGGGATAGTAATATGAAGTGCAGGTCTGATGAGGCTTGCTAATTGGCTATCACATGGCCGATACTTGGAATCTCGTTAGATTGGTCATAACAATCTGAAAATTAAAATTGAAAATAAGATTATGAATTTTTTTATTATTTTTTTAGGGAGGGGTGGAGGAGGTACCAATGCTAGCATCCTCGATTTTTTTTCACCTTCGTTGTGAAAATAACCATTTTTAATCATTTTTTAATAGGTAAATTTCGTTCATGGTAACTATATTATTCTAATGTGTAATTGTACTTTAATTTTATTTCAATCTGGTTACTACACTTCAAATGTTTTCAATTGAAAAACTTCACTCTAATGCTATTTCAGGCTGAGTTATCGGGTTTTGAAGATTCGTGTCCATCTGATAACGTCCTGAAATCAGACATCATGTCGAATGTGATATACAAACCAATTGCTAAGGTTGTTTCAAAGACAACAATTTCTGTCTTGGCTAATATGGTTAGTACAAATACTTGGAAATGGCTTCATTCCCTCAAAAGACTCGAAAATTTATGCTTCCATGGATTTAGAAATGGCTTTGCGATGCGTTTGTCTTTTCCAAGGATGGACAACCTTAGTCATCAACAGGAAACATCTGAGGTTGATGCCTGATGGTCATGCTCAGCCACAAAACCAAGGGAATAATCAATTGGACTTCACATCAGAATCTTATCAGAATTTCCCCGGTACAATAGAAAACTCTCGAGTTGATAAGAATTCCACATTGCTCACAAATGATGAGGATCGTCCTTCCTACCGTGGAGATAATTGGAGGAAATATGGTCAGAAGCAAGTGGAAGGAAGTGAGTATCCGCGAAGTTACGACAAGTGTACAAATCCCGATTATCCAGTGAAAAAGAAGGTTGAAGGAACAGTTCCACCATCTGACGATCTGATTACATCTGGAGCGTTCAATAATAGCATCTCAACTCCTAATGATGAATTTGAGGTAGGAAGCAAAGGTTTGGAGGCAGAAGGTGATGAACCCAAAAGCAAAAGAAGGCAAGTGATTCTTCACCATTTGCTGGCAATTGAAAGAAGAATGATTTTCTTACGTTTACTCATCGAGTTCAAGAACATTGACGTATTGAATTTGTTTTTTCTTTTCCAGGAAAAATAGGAACCTATCAAGAAAAGAAGGCATGCGCGATCCTCAAACTGTTCTCCAAAGTTCTGTGGATTGTGGAGTTCTTGGTGACGTATATCGCCGGCAAAAGTATTGCCAGAAAGTTGTGAAGGGGAATCCAAATCCAAGGTTAGGCTTGAAGCAAAAAATATGGTGCCACTTGCATAAATAAAAGCTTTCATTGGTCACAACCCATTATTTGTTGGCTCAACAGGAGTTACTATCCATCCACTAGACTCGACTGCAATGTACGCAAGTGCGTTGAAAGAACATCAGATGAACCAAGGGCTTTTCTTACAACATATGAGGATAGACACATCCATTAATGCCAATCGAAAAGGCAGATTCAGCAACTTCCAAGACAAGTATGAAGAATAAATCATCTGCTTGTCCATAGTTTTAAATTTTGGTTTTTGTATCTTACAGCTGAACATGAGGAATTTATTATAGAATTAAAAAGCCATATAAGATGAATGTCTTCCTATTGTTTGAAATTGGATTTCTCCCATCCACAAAACTAAACTTGTCCATTTTGGAGTCAACGTAAATACTACAGGCTATCTGGTACCAAATGTGGATTAACACAGCATGGTTTCTCACCAAAGCCACCTCCCCCACACCATAGGCTGTAGGGGCTCTCCAGTTTGACATGTACAAGTAGATAACCTTCTTTTGTCACAACATTGTAAAACCAGAAAAAGAACACGGAAGCTCTTCATAAGGACAATAGGAGGTGCAAGATACCGTTTCCTGAAGTGGCAGCATCTATGTCTTGAGGTGTCATTTATATATACTAACATTAACATTGAGTATGTTTTTCCTCTATTCTTGATGGCCGTTAGTATGACTTTGTGCACGGCTTGCATCTGATCCCTCATTCACAGTTTTGCTTTCACCAGAAGCCACAGCATTACTTGTATTCCCCTGTTGCAATAGAAGAATTCATTCATTTATACTTTTAACAATGTCCAATACATCCAGCTTAAACTGACATCAGATAAGCTTTGTAACTATGAACTTGACACACTATTGATGAATTCAGCTTTAGTGTATTGGTGTCTGTGCGTGTGAATGACTCGTGTATTTTATTGCTTGTTACTGGAAATCAATATGATTGTTCATTTAGCATTGTGCCATGGTATCTGCTATTCACCATCAAATAGTAGTGATAGAATGTAATGACAACCAATAAAGAGTGCAATAACTTGCCTTGTTCCTGTCACGCCAACCAAGGCCAAATGAGAGTAGGCCAGTTCTTGTTGGCATATTCTGTGGAGACTCTACATTTCCAACTCCAGGCCTGTAACGTTAGTTTCCGTTTGAAGTGAATTTGTCATAAAGAACTCAAGGATGAGAAAAGACAATGCTAAGAAGCTGAATGTAAGTGTCCTATGTGATGGGACAAGGAACTTTCTGAAAGGGTGTTCTAAAATTTTTCTATAGCAATTCTTGCAGGGAAAGCAATAACTTTAGTATCTAGAGAATAGTTCACCAACCTTGGGGATGACAAGGCTTTAATTTGCCCCGTTTCATATTGCAGTGTAGCTTCTAGCATTGACTCAGCCATAACAGCCCTCTTTTCCATTTGAGCAAGTGAAGTCACAACTTTTTCATACTTCTCCTGTACGACTTTAGAAAAGTTCATACTTTTGTCTGGGTTTAAGGAAATGAAAATGAAACAATTCAATCGTGAAGTATTTTTATGTACCAGAAGAAGGTACTTGTTGCAAGCCAATAATCCAGACATGTAAAGTAAATCATGATGAAAAAATGGCATCAAGAAGCCATTTAGTTTTCTGTGACAAAGGGAACCTAGACCTATTACTCTTTAAACTCATGGTTAACGCTAAAGCTAGGGTCACTAGCCGCTCATTAATCCTATGACCACCTCCTGTTGCAGAAAATTACTTGCATGTGAATGAACCTTGGAAAGTATAATCACAAAACAGCAGACTTTTATGAAGAATTTGAACGATCAGTTGCATCGTGTTTCTAATTTATTTTGAAAAGTGAATAGTCTTATCAACCATCTTGATTTGTTTCTTAGAACAATTAAATAATTACCATTAGATAGATATTGGTTTCCCATTGTTTGACAGAGCAAGACCAGGGTAAAGAAGTTCAAGCATGAGTGTCATAACCGGTAACAATATTTTCTTCAAAATGGTTCCTTTCTATGAAAAAACAAATATAAAAAATGCCACGACCATCACTTGCCATGCGTTTTCAGAGTAGGAAAGAAGAATCTCCACACTCCATGTTCCACAAAGGAAGATGATCTATTGCCTTGGGATTTGGGACAATTAGGAAACACAAAGATTGATTCTAGGTTAAAGTAGTATCTTATGTTTTCCTCCCCAGAATTTACGCTCCCTAGCGAAACCTAAGGAAACACTACAACTGTTTCCTAAAAAGATGCACCAGTGTAGCCAATGTAAGGAGTTTTTTGAAGCAAATGAGAATTGGAGTATCAATTATTGTAACTTGAACAAAGATAAAACCTTAATAACATTTACTGCATAACTCTGAGCAGCTGCATCTTGTTCTGCAAACAGTCGAGCATCTTCAGTGACCTTCTGTTCTTGCTCAACCCGCAGCAGAACCTAAAACAAAATCCTCATCACTAGAAATTGTGAAGAAGATACCTGTCATTTTCGCCTAGGTCCAAGTAGAGATGAAAGAGTAGGTTGAATCAAACCTGAAGCATAGCATTCTCCTGTTCTTTCTTATCAGCCAGGGTTTGCCGTAGTTCAGAAACCTCTAGCTCCAATTGCTCAACCTGCAGGATGGTAAATAATGTAAAACCTTCAAATGGTAAACTAATTTATGACTGACACACTTCAGGAAAGCAGGAAACTAATTTTCTCTCCCTCGTTTTTCCATCAGGTTAGAAGAATGTATAACTAGGTAAAGAAATGGGGGAGATAATACACGAACTCCAGACAATCTCAGTGAATCTAAAAGTTACACCATGTAATATAACAGAAGTTGTTCTAGATAAAATGTATTCTACAAATACCCTTGCACTCAATTCCCTTCTATTATCTTGCTTGACCATCTCCATAAGGGCAGCCTCCAATTCTTCTGCCCTACAAAAGAAGGGAAAAAAAACACATCTTTCATACATCCAAAGAATTCTTTGCTCAAAACAAATTATGATTGAAGGACGATTTTTTCCTCCCAAAGAGACATTTTATTTAATTATTAATAAATTCGCTAATGCGGTTAAGTAAGGTAATATGATTGAATTGCAGAAAGTGAGTGACAGCACGGTTTGAAGCATTAGGCACTTTAAAGAAGCAAAAAATACTGTGTACTTGATCAAGATAAATTAAATGCCAGCACGACTGACAATCATGATGCTATTTAAGAGTTTAATACAATAATTTGCACATTTTCAACTCCCAACTGCGAAAGAGAGAAGAAAATAAGTTGACAAGTTCTTCCATTTGGTTAGAGTTCAGATGCCAAGCATTATATACACTAACCTGAGCATAGCAGATCTCTTCTCCTCCAGCAAACTACACAGCTCGACCTTCAACCAACCCACCTGCAAAAAATCTATTCATAAGTGAATTGTAAAAACGACAACACGAGACTGGGTTACAAGTTCTGAACCATTCAACAAATATATCATAAAGGCATTTGCTATTAACGGGTACACATTGACATAGCTGTCTATCAAAAGTTCGAGTTAGCACAGAAAAGAAAGATAAGATATATGCCAAATGCTGTTACACAGAAACTGACACATTTATGATAGGCAGATATATTGCACGCTTATACAACGTCAATCTGAATTTTCAATAACCAGTATGAATTGGTCCTACAAGCTTCAGTTAGGAGGAGGCTAAGGAGAGATGGACATAAATGCTCACATTGACTTCTCTATATTGATTATAGAGTCGAGACCTGTGACAAAGCATCATTTGATATGTTACTGAACCACTAAGCCAGAAAGTCATGGATTTATTGTGTTCATAAATTAAACTAATGGATACATATACAGAACAAAAATATTAATGGTGAGTACTCAGCCATTTCAAATCCATGATGTGCCACCAACACTCAAATACACAAAGAAAAGCCCAAGGTCATGAAAGAAGGGATGAATTGTTGAAATGAAAATAGATTGTCAGATAGCAGCCAATAATGTAATCTCAACAAACGGAACATGAGTTTCTTCAGTGATTAAAGGAGCATAAAGGTGAGTTCCAAGTAAAATGGATGGTAACCTACTTGATCTTGAAGGTCTGGAAGAGAATCTACTTCAGTATCAATGGTTTTGCTGTTAAGAAATTCATCCATGTTTGTAGAATAAGATTCTGCATCTGATACTTTACCAGCCATTAGCTCGTTGTCTGATCCTGCTTCCATCATTCTTTCTTTTATCAATGATTCAGAAGCATGCTTGAAGCTATACAACTTATTTGCAAGACCTTTAGGATCTTTAAAAACTTGACCCCCTTTTGCTCTTTCCTCAATTGTTGCAAGTACAGATGGTCGATGCTTCTCTCTCAGTCCTTGCAGTCTATCTTCAGTAATGGTCAAGAACCCCATGCAAGCAGTCAACACAAGTTGGCTGCTATCAAATGTGGACCCAGTGAGTGATTGTAACAAAGTGATAGCATCTCCAGCATCCTTAGTAGTAACTACAGCAGGACCTGCAAATATTTGGAGATGATAGTTTAACTTATTATCAACCATGCAAATTGACATGGCATAACAGTGCCTGCATTACCATATAAATCCATCAAAGCAAGAGCAGTTCGAAATAGCATGACGCGATTCCCTTCAAACAATATCACATCCCAAACTCGAAGAACTGGAGCCAAGAAGATTGGTCAAAAGTTCACGAAACACGTAAGTTAGAGTATGTTCTTAGGATTTAACGATGAACAAGAAATAGAAACACATGACCAATATATATAGTCATGAACTTAGATAAGATTTCTGATAGTACAAGTCCTTACCACTTTCCCATGGAAGAATATTTACAAAGATTGAGAGGAACCAGGGTCCAATTATCAATGTCACCTGCACTCCCAAATAATCGAGATGATTGACTGCAGCATCATAGAAGCAATGAGAAACTTCGAATTTGACACAAATATATTAGGAAAAGAAAAGGCAAACATAAGATTATAGACATACCAAGTTTAGGAAATGTTTCATGCATCAACTCCTCAAAAACAAGCTGGTCAACCTACATTTAAAACAAATTCTTTTGGTTGAGTGTCAGATCCATTTAAGATGAGCATGCAATAATTGCAAAAGCTAGATTAATGGAATACATACTTGGGATTCTATCATTTCCAGCGAAAAGTAACCATCAAAATAGTCATCAATAATACCCACCAAAGTCCTGAAAGATTTAAAACAAACTAGTTGATAAAGTTAGCATTTTCTTGATTCTTTACTACACAAGCACACCGTATAAAAGATTTATATATATGTAGATGCATAAATAAAGATTTATTAGGATGATTGATATTTTTTAAATTATTCATTATTGAATCATATTATTATTTCAATTAATTTAAAAACAAAGCTTGGGAGCCAGAAGATAATGAACAAGCATGAGATATAGTAAAAACCACAAAGATTCATCGTTATGATTTTGAGTTACAATACTGATTTCATGTATATTATAATGCAAATTTATCATATGCCGTGATCATTCAATCATGCATTTGCTTTGGTTACAAGAGGTTTAAGGGTAGTGATACCAATTAATTGAAGAAATTTTGACTTTTGAAGAGAAGGCTCGAAACCATATTTAGCCCCCGTTTGGTGCACTGTTTGAAGGTAAGAATGTATTTTTACTGTTGATGTGATGGGGAATATGTGGTTGAAAAAGAAGGAAAAGTTATTGATGTGATGTAAAATATTATTTTATTAAAAATGTATGGTTGAAAATGAGTAGATGAATGAGAATGAATGATGGGGAATATGTGGTTGAAAAAGAAGGAAAAGTTGTTGATGTGATGGAAAATATTATTTTATTGAAGAATGTGTGGTTGAAAATGAGTAGAAGAATGAAAATGAAAAAAATAATGTGGACCAAACAGACCTTATTCATAATCATACGGAGAAATGCATTGCTTATGAGAAAAAAAAGTGCAAACTAACAAGAACTATGTGAAACAAATAATTAGTGGTTCACAGGGATGACAGTTCATGTTCAACTTATCTCTTGCAAGTGGATACCACGAGATCTGCTTGGAAAGTTCTAATAAGCAGGATAACCACTGACTTGGATATCTATTTACAATGTATACAAGTACAAATAGGAACAGTGAGGGTGTTAAAGGGTATTTAGGTCTTTTATGTAATACCTAGGGTCTCCTAAGGTTTTCCTAACTCTTATTATAAATAGTGGGACAGGCTAACGTAATTGTTAAGCCTTCTAATTCTTTTACTTTAACAGAGTATCAGAGCAAAGTTATGGGAGTTAATTCCATAAGCTTTGTTCAAACATTTTTTTTTCCTTCTTAAAAAAAAAATAAATTCCGTTACTGTTCATCCGCGGGTATTGTTCATCGGCACGACTACTGTTCATCCGCGTCGGTACTATTCATCAGCGGTTACTGTTCATCCGGCTGGTTTTTTGTCAGTGTTCAATCTGCTAATTTCAGATCAGCTTCTGGTTATTGGTTATTGTTCGTATGACAGTACTACAAATGTTCGTAAGTCTGATTATGACTCTCACGTTCTTCGTTTAAGCCCTACAGTTGTTTGTATTGTTGGTTTGTTTCCCTTGTGCGAGCTGTTTATTACTTGTTGAATTGTAAGGTATTAATATCGATGACTACACCTCAACCATTAACAACCCGTAAGTTGAACGGAACCAATTATTTAAATTGGTCTAAAACTGTGAAAATAGCCCTAACTGGACAGGGAAAACATTGTCACATCACAGAATCCGCCCCGGCAACAGATGATAAAAAGTATGACGACTGGATTCAGGCTGATGCGCAGATTGTAACATTGTTGTGGAATTCGATGGAGCCTCAGGTGGCTGATCTCTGTACTCATCTAGATACGTGCAAAGATATATGGGAGTATCTCCGTGTATTATATTCTAGTAATCTCACCAGGATGTATGATTTATCAGTGGAGTACTTCCAACTTCAGCAAGGCACGCAATCCGTTACAGATTATTTTGCCACATTCAACCGCCTCTATGAGGAGATGAATACTATCCTACCACTGACTATCGATCTGAAGGAAATGCAAAAGCAACGTGAGCAGATGGCTGTCATGAAGTTCTTGGCTGGGTTACGTCCAGACTTCGAACCAGTCCGATCTCAGATTCTTTCGAGTGCTACCCTCCCCACCATCACTGAAATGTATTCTCGTGTTTCCCGTAGTACTACCAAGGACAATGTTTCTGGCTCGGGTTCGTCTACGTCATCTGAGCATTCGGCACTTGTTACACAGATTCCCACGCGAAATCGAGATGATCCACTTAGTGGTGGTCGTGGTAGTTTCTCTCGTGGTCGCCGTGGTAGTGGCCCTCGGGGTGGACGTAGTGGCCGTGGTCGTGTCTCCATTCGTCAGTGCTCCTTTTGTGGGTTGGAGAATCATAATCGAGACACATGTTGGGATTTGGTTGGCCGTCCACCCAAATTTGCCAATGCAGTGACATCTGATCCAGATATTCCTACCATTCCAGTATCTCAGGCGGCTAAGGACATATCTGATGAGGAATATGCTCAGATCCTTCAGTATAGGGCATCTCAGCAGGCATCTCTTCCTATTGCTTCTTTAGCTCAACGAGGTACTTCTTCTGCTTGTCTTTCCATTCGTCCATCCCCTCCCTCACCCTGGGTCATAGATTTCGCAGCCACTGATCACATGTCAGGTACATCTTCTTTATTTACGCATATTCAGTCCTCTTCTTCGTTGTCTCCTGTTACGGTTGCTGATGGTTCCACTATCCCTATCCGTGGCATTGGTACAGTGGACCCCTCACCCTCCTTATCTCTCTCCTCTGTCTTGTATATTCCTTCGTTTTCCTTTAATTTGATGTCAGTTAGTAAACTCACCAAACATCTTAATTGTTCTGTCTCATTTTTTCCTGATTCTGTCATTCTCCAGGATTTGAGGACGCGGAAGACGATTGGCACAGGGCGTGAGGACAATGGCCTTTATTACCTTGATCGTGATGAGAGTCCTGCACACCCTCCTACTGCATGTCCTGCTGTTGCATCTGCTCACCAAATCCATTGTCGCCTTGGTCATCCCTGCCTTGGCAACCTCAAGTTACTCTTTCCTAGTTTCAGTCATTTGTCTTCTTTAGAGTGTGAGTCTTGTCAATTGGGTAAGCATCGTCGTGTTTCATTTGCTTCCCCTGCTCATGTTCGAGCATCGAGTCCTTTTAGTTTAGTTCATTCAGATGTTTGGGGTCCTTCTCGTGTTACTTCTACAATTGGTTTTCGTTATTTTGTCACTTTTGTGGATGATTTTTCAAGAGTTACTTGGCTTTATTTAATGAAAGATCGTTCCGAATTATTCTCTATTTTTCGTGCATTTTGTGCTGAAGTTCAAACCCAATTTAATGTACCCGTGCGTATTCTTCGTAGTGATAATGCTCGAGAATATTTTTCTCAGCCCTTTACTTCCTATATGTCGCACTCTGGTATCCTGCATCAGTCTTCTTGCCCTCACACACCACAGCAAAATGGGGTTGCTGAGCGTAAGAATCGACATCTCCTAGAGGTGGGCCGTACTCTCCTTTTTGAGATGAACGTTCCCAAACATTTCTGGGGCGATGCGGTTCTTACAGCTTGCTTCCTAATCAACCGGATGCCATCCTCTACCCTGCGAGGCACGGTTCCCCATTCCATTCTTTTTCCCCGTTCACCTTTATTTAGCTTACCTCCTCGCATATTTGGGTGTGTTTGTTTTGTTCATCAGTTGACTCCCGGCAGGGACAAGTTAGATCCCCGTGCTTTAAAATGTGTCTTCCTCGGCTATTCTCGCACGCAAAAAGGTTATCGATGTTATAGTCCATCATTACGTCGCTCATTTGTGTGTGCCGATGTTACATTCTTTGAGTCCACCCCTTACTTTTCTACCCCATCATCTCAAGTTGATCTGGATGTTACACTTCCTTTGCCCATTGACCCTACCCCTACGCTATCTTCCTCCGCTCCAGATCCTATCCCCTCCAATCGTTCTTCGGCCCCTTTGCAGGTATACTCTCGTCGCCAGAAGGACGCCTCCGCTGCTGTGCCCATCAATTCTGTGCCCTCAGATTCTTCTCCAGCAGACCCGCCCATGTCTGACATGGACATGCCCATTGCCATCCGGAAAGGTAAGCGCACCTGTACTACCCATCCTATTTCTAACTTTGTCTCATATGCGCACCTATCTCCTTCATACTCCTCTTTTGTTGCTTCTCTGTCCTCTGTTTCTGTTCCTAAGTCCATTTCAGAGGCCCTTATTCTCCCTGGTTGGGCAAAAGCAATGGAGGAAGAAATGACTGCTTTACATCAGAATGGCACTTGGGATCTTGTCTCGCTTCCGCCTGACAAAACTACAGTTGGATGTAAATGGGTGTACACTGTTAAGGTTCATCCGGACGGCACCGTTGATCGACTCAAGGCTCGCTTAGTTGCTAAAGGCTATACTCAGGTCTACGGTCTTGATTACTATGAGACCTTTTCTCCCGTTGCCAAGCTCGCTTCTGTTCGTTTGTTCATCTCTCTGGCTGCCACTTTTCTTTGGCCCTTACATCAGCTCGATATCAAGAATGCTTTCTTAAATGGCGATCTGACTGAGGAAGTTTATATGGAGCAACCTCCTGGGTTTGTTGCTCAGGGGGAGTCTGATTTGGTATGTCGTTTGAAGAAGTCTATTTATGGCCTCAAGCAGTCTCCTAGAGCATGGTTTGGAAGATTTAGTGAAGTGGTCACTGAATTTGGTCTTCAGCGTTGTGGAGTCGATCATTCTGTCTTCTACAAGCACAGTAAAGTCGGCAGAATATTGTTAATTGTGTATGTGGATGACATCGTGATTACTGGGGATGATCACAGTGGTATTCAAGAACTCAAAAAGTGTTTGCATAGTAAGTTCCAAACCAAAGATTTGGGGCACTTAAAGTATTTCTTGGGGATTGAAGTTGCTCGATCAAGTCAGGGCATTTACCTGTCCCAGAGAAAATATGTCCTTGATCTATTGAGCGAAACAGGAATGCTAGGAGCAAAACCTATTGACTCGCCTATGGATCCAAACACCAAATTATTGCCAGATCAGGGTATACCACTGACAGATTCAGCTCAATATAGACGGTTAGTTGGAAAGTTGAACTACCTGACAGTTACCAGACCAGATATCTCCTTTGCTGTTAGTGTTATTAGTCAGTTCTTGGGTCGTCCAATGATTTGTCACTGGGATGCAGTGATTCGTATTCTCCGATATCTGAAAGGCGCTCCTGGTTGTGGTTTGCTATATCAAAATTTTGGACATACTCAAATAAAGGGCTACACAGATGCAGACTGGGCTGGATCACCCCTAGATAGGAAATCTACTACTGGGTATTGTGTGTTTGTTGGTGGTAACCTTGTCTCTTGGAAGAGTAAAAAGCAGACGGTAGTGGCGCGGTCGAGTGCAGAGTCGGAATACAGGGCAATGGCGCATACCACTTGTGAGTTAACATGGTTGAAACATTTGTTGGAAGAACTTGGATTTGAACACACTTCACCGATGGAACTGGTATGTGATAATCAAGCAGCACTTCACATTGCATCCAACCCAGTCTTCCATGAGAGAACGAAGCACATTGAAGTTGACTGTCACTTTATTCGAGAAAAATTGTTGCAGAAGCAGATTGAGACTAAATATGTAAACTCAGCTGATCAATTAGCTGATATATTTACTAAACCGTTGGGGGGCTCAAGGATAAAGTACATTTGTAACAAGCTTGGAGCACACAATATATATGCTCCATCTTGAGGGGGAGTGTTAAAGGGTATTTAGGTCTTTTATGTAATACCTAGGGTTTCCTAAGGTTTTCCTAACTCTTATTATAAATAGTGGGACAGGCTAACACAATTGTTAAGCCTTCTAATTCTTTTACTTTAACAGAAGGCAATAGGTTAGAGAAAAATCATTGTTCTGTATGTGTGAGGGCAATAGACCAAGGAAGGTGGCCAAATGATAATGAAAGAGGCAAATACTTCCACAAGAACATTTCAATTGAAATGTGCCAGTACAAATACAGTTCATTATCTTTGACCCACGGAATCCCCTTCTCATGATCTTTTCTTTTGATCTTCTCACGTGAATTGACATGACAAGCAATCTCATATAAACAATGACACAGACTTCTGAGCCTTGTCAAAAAAGAGATATTTATTGAAATTTCCGATTACTTATGATTGTCGTACAACAAGAACAGCTCATCTGTCGTCTTCTAAAAGGAAGCTGACTGATTGGATATATTCATATCAGATTTCCGCGGAGAAACAATGAGCAACAATCGGGTCCTAAATGATCCAAATTTCCAAATTAATATTCCCAATTGCAGGACAGAGACGGAATTTCTTCAACAAAACAAATTTTGCATCAACAAATATTTCACAATCATTTCAAACATGGACTTCTATATAGGAACTAATTACAAGAACGAGGAAGTACAGAGGCAAGGCCTACAAAATGAACGTCAAATGCAAAAGAGTCTCCATTCACATCTAACAGTTCTGTTCCTCAAAATTTCAAATACAGGAATAAACAGGATGATGACAGGTGGCTTGAAACTTACCAAAAGGCATTTTCTTCTGACATCATGAGAAGTAATAAGCCAGCAAAGAAATTCATTCCCTGCAAGTGTAATTACACATAAGAGGAAGTTAACAATGAGAAGCGAGTATTGTTACACAAAACTAGTAATATCTTGATGTGGTTCGAGCGGAATAACACATGACGTGAAGAACGGAATAATGTTTCTGGCGATGTCTTATTTCCTTTCCAGTCACGTATGACATTAGTCAGACAACTTTCTTCAACATTCGATCAACCTAAATTGTTCAAATCTTCATAAAAAAACTGAAAATATCGATTCTCTACTTATGTTACAACTTCTGTATCTACATTAAAATCCATGGATTGGAAGTGTGTGTACCTAAAAAAAAATTCCCAAATATAGTGAAGATTTTGCACCAAGTTGATAAATCAGCATTAAATATTAGTTTTAGGAGTGTGTATTTCCTATATCGGGTCTTATTTTTTAAGTCAAAAACCGACCTTGTTTCTATTTTCACAAAGGTTCAAATTTTATCTCAGACTATCCCTACATGTTATCACCTCTTTTTTGCATTTAAAAACATTATTACTCAGAAGTCAAAGATAAAGAGCACATTATTTATGAAAAGGAAAACAAAGAGACAATATCTTCAGGCAACACACACCTGGCAATACCCAACAGATGGGTTGTGTCGCGCATATGCCAGAAGTACACGCCTTAGTGAATTTCGACCATTTTCATTCAGTGCAGGATGTCCTGGAAATGTTCGGTGAAGATCCTGACAATAAGAAGATAACTAATTGAGGAATCTGGATAGCAATGCAATATGGTATACTGTTATTGATTAAAAAAAAAAATGATTCCAAACTAGAGCATAAAGTATGGGAGGAAAAAACAGAAATAAAAAAGGGGAAGAAAAGAGACAAACACGTGAGAATACAGAAAAGGTAAAATAGTACAAGTGTCCATTTGGTAGAGGCTCAATGTGTAGAAAATGCAATCAACATCTTAAAAAGGAAACCAACATTGTTTTAGTTTGACAACAATTAGCTAGAAGGCATTTTTGAAGACCATCCCACGTGGGCCCTAAGAAGAAGTAGCACCTACGAATTAAAAAATTGAACGATAAAGTCCAAGGCCCATGCATCTAATGACCTTCTCAATTTGCTTTTTCCATTTTTCTGACAAATCAACACCCTTCCGGCTCCGTTGCTTGCTATCATCACCCGACAATAATTCCTCATGCTCTTGACCATCGCTAGCATCAAATTCTACAGCCAACAAATCCTGGTAATATCTCTCCACCCGGCGTGTTCTAACACCAACGAAGGCTTGCCAGACCTGCCCCACAAGTCCACAGATAAAAGAAACATTAATGCTGGATGGATATTATGAAACCTGCATATTGATAAAAAGTGCTAGACTGTACATCTCCTCTAAGGTCCCCTGGTACTCCTCCACGAACGAGAAACTCTAATTCTTCCTTCCAAGGGAATACTGGTTCTGGGTAAATTTCATCGCTGGCACTACTTCCTTCAGCAGAAGCATCTACACTGTCATCAGCTATTTCATTGTCGTAAAATTTCTCCTCTCCATCCTCTTCAGATTCTACTTTTGATAATCTTGCTTCATCTATTGATGGAAGCTGATTGTGGGTAGAGATTATATTTTCACTGCCCATGTTTCTTCTCTTTACACGAAAACTCATCATATGATCAATGACATCTAGAGATGGATTAATTTCAGCCCATGTCTTCACCTCACGAGACTTTATTTGTAGGGTAACTGGGGTCTCTTTAATTGGATTGCTTTCTGTCCTAGTGTCAGAAACAGGTTTCTGTATTCTTGAATCGTCCCCTTTACCACTCACCTCCTGAATAGATTTCTGCTTTGTAACTTCAGAACTTACAGGTTTTTGTTCACCTGAATCGTAGCCTTCTACGCACAACTCCTGAGTAGGCTCAGTTTGCTGCTTCGTAAGTTTAGAACTCACTGATTTTGTTTCACTTGAATCATTCCTTCCACTTGCCTTGTGATCTGTTTCACTTTGTTGATTTGTAACCTGAGAAACCACAGACTTGATCTCCTTATTGGAAAGATGCCATCGAGTAGACTTTGCTTGTTCAAGAAAGCCCTTCCATTTCTGTAATCTCTCTTCTTCTTCTTCCTGTAACCACCCATTTAAATCTAAGCAATCTAAATATAGCAGAAATACATCTTTTTTATTCTACTAGTCAGGAAATGGGAACGTAGTTAATTTTCTATCGTTCAATATTCTCAGACGATGGTTTCACCAAATGATTCCTTTGTATGATATATTAAACCAATGTTCTTAAAATTATGAATGATCGCATAATTAAGAAAACCAAAGGATTCTCTAGAGAGTATGAATCAATGCAATAGTTGATAGCCAGGAAGAAGAGCAATTACCTTATAAATATCAGCATATGCTTGAAATCTATGGAGGTGCTTTGATGTCACAGTAAATCCATAGGCATCCCTGTAAACATTTCACAATTCTCATACCCAAAGAATCACCAATCATAGAACCAATTTTTTCATTAAACAATGTCATATAGCATCATTAATTACAGTTGTATGGCCACAAAAGTTAAAATTAAAAAAAAAAGTATGGTGTCAACATAATTTGGAGAGAACATAAAATTCAATGAGTTGAGAACACATTCTAGCTACAATATGAATAGCTGAACAGAAATTGGCCACCTTTTGCACGAGTTTACCTGGAATCAACATCCAAAAATCGCCTGCTCACCAAGGATAACAACATACTTCACAAGAATCCCAATTCCAGTGCCCATATCGCTTTTGTTTACTCAAACTAATCTCCAATTACCATTAGAATTCAACATTCCCAATATCATCCTGATGCTAAGGTTTATCTCTACAAAACCACATTTCCTTTTTCACTAAATCTAAGGATACAATTTCCTACTATCCATCCAAAAATAAAACATAAAATAACATGAAGATCTGCAACTATTCTCCTAGGCTGATATTCTCCTATTCCTAGCTGGCTCCTAATAAAAAAATTAAATATAATTATCCTTCTTCAATTATTTGATTATACCATTCTGCATTGTATAGTGACTGAAGAGTCTCAATAGAATTAAGTTAACTCGATTGGTTCATTGATCAGATTGAATCTCTCTGACAAACTGAATTTTCCTTGAATTTCGAATCCTAGCGTTCAGAGAATACGCTCCTTCTTAAGAAAAGTCGGCCATAACGACGCGTGTGAAGCTCAGAACTCGAAAATTCGGCGTAAGCATTATACACACACTTAAATATACATTTAAATGCATAACCATACGCACACACTGGAGTTCAGTTACCTCTGAGGCTCAAAATTGAGGAAAAATTGGGAGCCTTTGAGCGTCATCTGCGGTAATCCACTGTAAGAACTGGCTGCAATCAGTAATTTCTCGGATGATCGAAGGGCTAGTAATTCATCTCCGTTAACTGTCTTCCCTCTCGTTCGCGCGCTCCCTATCTTCCACTGTTTTCTCTCTCTATTAAATACAAGTTTGTGTATGTATAGTTGACCGTTCGTTAAAAGTAGTCAGTGGCTTAACAAACAAGGGGTCACGTGCCGTGCGCGGGATTTTGGTTTGACGAAATCTCGTCATTACACGGCTGGCGATCGGGTTATGTTAACGTTACCGCAAAACTTATGGATTGGACAGTTGTGTCGGTGCTACAATTAGAACACGTGTATATTAATAATACAAAATGAAATGATTGGGGGGGCAGGGATATTTAATACGTGTGGTCTTTGATGGGGAAGGCTGTCTGAAATTAATTTCTTGTACTTCTCCGACAATTTGTAATTGAGAAAAAAAGATTAATGAAATTGCTAATAATTTTCTGATAATAAAATTGCACTTTTAGACTTCAATATATGGTCTTCATCCTTTAGAAAAGAACAATTTGGTCTCCAACTTTTTGTTGTAATTGTAGAATCGGCCCAAAATCTTCGAGTCTCAAATTATTGGACGACCCTTGCATTTTCCACGTTTTGATGCTCGATTTTGTTTCCGAACTTGAACTGATATATAAGAATTTGAAGTAAAACATTTTCACAATAGTCGACTGATAATTTATGACTTCGTTATTGAATATTAGATTGTACAAAACTAACAAGTAAATAATTTTCCTAAATAGATGACAACGATTATATCGCATTGTATTACCTCATTTTAAAGTTAAGTTGGCTTGATAATGTGGCAATAAAAACATTTTCTAGCACGCAACTCTGGATTCTGACCAAGAAACATTAGAGCTTAAAAACGGATCAAGCAATCAATTAAGGTCAAAGTCTTTGCGGGAAATTCCATCTTAGAGTTATTATTATATGTATTAATGACGTGAATTTTGAATCAAGTGGTAAATAAAATATAGGGAAAATTGCAACAGAGGTCTCAAATCTTTCATTTTGTTGCAAAATATACCTTAACCTTCTATTTTTGCCGCTGCAACCCCAAACCTTTTACTTTAATGACAGCCGGAGTCCATTGGATGGATTCCATCCAAAATCCCGTTAGTCGACACTGAAATTGAAATTTTGACTCAAATTGAAAGATTATATGAGGGGTAAAATGATCAAATTATATTTCTATAATTAAATAAAAAATGAACTTCGTCTTCTCCAAATCACCCCATCCCCACTTCCAACTCCAAAATAAAAAACTAGAACTCAATGAATTCTTATAACCAACACCAACCATTGCTGTGACATCTCAAATAATTTTGTTTTGTTTGCTGAAAACCCTCAATGCCCTCCGTCAACATCACCCTCAATCAATTTTTTTTCCCCAAAACCCCAATTGTCCTCCATCAACAGCATCCTCAATCAAAGAATTTTGCTCTTCTTACTCGTTGTCTAGTAGCAACCTCAATAAGCTTCAAATCTAATTGGGGAAGCATATCCATTTACACTTATTCAACATCAACGCCTAAAATTAAAAATTTGGGGGGAAAAAAAATCAAAACTAAT